GGTGGTGAGCGGTCTTTGAAAAGAGGGGGAAGGGGGGGGGGGGGGGGGGAAACAGGTTAATGGGAAAATTGTATTAATTTAGGGTGGTTGCTGTCGGTTTGAGATAAAATAATGGAACTGAAGGGAATTAACCCCCAGTAATTGCCCGCAGAAGAACATAGACTTCTGTAGAAGCTTGGCAGTTATTTGGTTCCAATTAGGCCACAGAGTCTCTCATTCACGACAAAAGTCACGTGTGGCATATTAATTTTACATGATGGCTGACTGTGATGTTATTCAGGTTTGGAGCGAGTGTAAAACGGGCACACTAGGTGCAATCTTGTACCAATTGTTGAACAAATGGCTTGGCACACAGAGTCCAAGCCGGCGTGATAATGAACAGACTAATTTTGTGCGCTGGACTAATGAAATATGTGACCGTGACTTCTTTGGCGCCTATGATGACGCTCCCCCAGCAGAGGGAGCTGTAGGACTGTTTAAGACAGAGTCCAAGCCGGCGTGATAATGAACAGACTAATTTTGTGCGCTGGACTAATGAAATATGTGACCGTGACTTCTTTGGCGCCTATGATGACGCTCCCCCAGCAGAGGGAGCTGTAGGACTGTTTAAGCAAGCCAGTGTGAAGACTAATAAAGCACGCCTTTCTCATAACACAGCTGGTTTCTTACAGAAGCACAAGACAGAGGCCAAACTTAAACGGTGTGAAACATTCTTGAAAAACTGTGTCTGTTTTTTGGCCGAATTTGAAAAAATCCAAAAAGCTACAGCGAGTGTTGAGGCCGTCTGTTTCCCTGTTCCTCATTCCAGTGACACACAGGCACATACACCCTCGGCTCCACCTTTGGCTGCAGAGGAAGTCGGGAAGCCAACAGAGTTTCAGAATAATGTCCAACACCAAATACCAATGCTTTCTGCCGAGGGTGACCAAAATATTTCACCCTTAGTTGTTGTGCACGGTGGAATTTTACAAACAGCTCCATTTCCGTGTGCACAAACAGACTGGCAGAGGGCTCTGCAGTATCTAGATGGTGTTAAAGCAGAGTCTGTGCCACAGGCTGCTGCTGCTGCTTTAATGAGG